TATTTGTTATTTGTCATCAATATTAGTTTACTAAACAATTACGGATTTAGGAAACCAAAATAACCATAATCGATTTCCACACAATTGATCAGAAAACATGAAATTCAATTTTATAAGTTATTAAGTTCAGAAATTGGGTGAATAATCAAAGTGAGATAGTAGTACATCATTTCAACCAACTAGTAAAAATAGAACTTGCAAAAACTAAGCAATCCAAGGTCAAATTTATAAAGAAATTAGCCACATTGACAAGAGATATTAACCTAATTTTGAAATTGATTAATCTCCTTCAATGCTTCTCCAATCCAAAACCACGAACTGTTGATGTCTTCGCTCCTGTCTTCTCCAATCGATTGCACCTACTGTTGCTCTCCTCTCCAATCGAAAATAAATAAAATGTGGTGTCTTCCCTCACGAACCAGAAAAACAACCCACGTCTCCCGATCTCTCGCTCGATCCCCCTCTCTTCCACTTCTCCTCTCGACTTCTCCGATCGATCGCACGTCTTCCCAATCGATCGCACCTCTGGGCTGCTGTTACTGGAGTTTTTGTTGTAGGGACTTTTTTGTTACTGCTAGTCCTCTCATTTTCCTCAAACTCGTGACATCTCTTTTTTTAAGCAACATTTGAGAAAATATGCTTCATTTTCACGCCATTTAAATTTGTATGGCCAGTCCAGAACCCATTTTATAAGTATGCTCAGCCTCATATTTCTTCAGAAAACTATGCCCGACCTTGTAACAATTTCGAAATATATGCTCTATTTGTATTAAAATCCATCCTTTTTTGCACCTACCAAAGTCCAATCAATAATTAAATTAAAGGGGTTCTATAAGCTATATAAACATTACAATATGTACTAGATTTATTATAAAAACATGTTTAAATATAAGCTTATCAAATATCCCCACACTTGGACCATTGACCGTCCTCGGGCAAACAATAAGCATTTAACATGGATGAAAGTCAAGAGTTAAGTTTTAGAGAACCGACGAAAAGTACATAACATTTCATGAGGGTACAACTTAGCCGACATAGTAACAATCAACACACAAGACAACCAAAGATGAACACTTCCTAATCTCACAAACACCTCACAAAGGATATAAACCTACTCTAATCACTCATTCACACAAAGCACAAGTGTTTTCACTCTTGGCATCAATTCACAAACACATGCACTACCATAAGCTTGAATTAGGTCTCGATTCTCCATCGCTAATGGTCAACCTAGGTGTGGATCAAAAAGGTCTTTTTAGTAGGGTTGTAACATGGCTAAGGGTTTTGGTAGGGAAACTTTTGGGTTAAGTGACTAAAAATGGATTTTGGAAGGGAAACTACAACTCAAAGCTTGACTTTCGTGTTTTGCGCATCAAAGTGATCACAAAATCTCTCAACTTTCTAGCTCTTATTTGCTAAGAATGCTATGAAGACAATTGTATTTTTTTGAATTCGGTCTCCATTTATTCATGTATATATATTCTTTTTTGTCCACTTCCATACATGGAACATATTGTTTTTTTTCTTTCGAATCTCTATCGATCATCATATAGGCGTTGTGGATCGGATAGATGGTATACAGACCGTACAACACGTCTGCCTAACTAAAAGCTTGTAGTCTCATTCCAAAGTCCGGTGAGGAAAGTGTTTGGCTAAGGAGTATATATTTGGTGTAAAAGTCAAGAAAATGGGTAATTAGGCTCAAAAAGGAAAACACATAAGGGTTGGCATTAGGCTAAATGGTTAAAAGAAAACATCAATGATGGCCTTCTATCATTTCCACACA